CTTTATCCTGTAGCATGATACACAGATACATCTTGCAAGCCAAATGATGCAAACCAGTGCTAGGTATGCACAGGAAGTGTGTGTGTTTATTGTGTGGTCCACAGATAATGAAATCTACTGTATGTGCAGGTGAAAAGAGACTGGAAAGAGAGCACAAACTGCACGTGTCTACATACTGTTAGAAGTATAACAAGAGGTTTGGTGTTTATCAAGTGTGTGTAAGTCTCACATGCCTGTGCCCATATTCACACTATTTATCTAATGCAAAGTCCTACATACTAAATAGCTGAAAGTATATATCTAACATTATTCATTATAATAAACTGATCTCTTACACAGCCTGAGGCTCCTTAAACTTGCCCACTTGCTGGATGTGGTACATCAGGTCTCCTCCGTTAATGTACTCCATCACAAAGTAGAGCCGATCCTGCACATAAAGTCGGACAGGAAATCTTCAAAACTGTCATGCCTTTATAATAATACTTATACAGTATGTGTAGATTTTAATTTGTGTGTCACTGAAAGCAATAACTGACATGCAATCAGATTCTTTTAACAGAGATTTATCAAGCAGCTCAAACTGATTTGCATCAGTTTTATATAATGCATTCTTTAAAGATAATTCACATTACAAAAACACATCTTCCTCTTTATTTCTATGCTACAGTGACAGTAATAGAATAAAACACGTACCTATTTAACTGCTAAACTACTTAATAGTGACAGATGGCTGGAGATTTTGTGGAAACGTAATAGTAGTATTTATGAACACCTTTTGAATAATATATGAAGGGCATGTGGAGGAGCACACTGCAATATTCATGGGCAGGATGCCCTAACTGAGCGTGCCCTGTTGTAACTCTTGAAAAAACCCACCCACTGATGCATTCATGGACTCACACGCTGACATATTGAGAAATATGATCAGGAATAACCCAGCCACTGTGCCAAACAAAAATGCATATTTAAGGATAAGGATTAATATGTTTAGATACACATATTTTTTTTCAGTAAGACAGAAATTAGCTAGCAGAAAGCCGCTACAAACTTTTGAGTAAATAACATAAAAAAAAACAAAAAACACATGATGTATAATTGAGTGCCAAAATTTGAAAAAAAAAAAAAAAAAAAAAGCATTTTTTTCTGTGTGGAAAATAATAAAACGTAACACAATATATAAAATTTTAATAATTTACAAATAAAATGTGGGTGTATCCATGTCTCCCCAGTGTTTGGAGGAGTGTAAATTGTCCCCACCATTAAGAATGCTCAATTCATAGTTCATTCTTTATTTTTTAATATAATGATGGTTGCTGTTTCTTGTTAAATTTGGTTGTGTCTTTTTGATTCGTGTGTAGGAAAGACGAGTGGGAAATCACCACTACCGTGGCAGAATGTGAAGATTCATTTCCTTACTGGTTGTTTATGACAAAGCTAAAAACATAGAGTAAACCGAGTAAGACACTGTCGGCCAGAAGCGCTTGCAAATACTAGTTATGCTGTACTGTGGTTCTATAAATCCCAGACAGAGAAATACCTGGATACCTTCACATCTGGATGTACCTCGAAATGACATATGATGCAGTATTTGCAATGAATACAGCTCTTATATAGTCATCTTTTCCTACAGCCGATGTGTAGTAGCCTGGGAAAACCCTTCACTTGGTCAAATTTTGACATTTTCTACTGTAAGTTCTGAAAGCACAGCCTGTCCTGAAGTGATATACTGTACATAAGCACTTGCACAGTAAAATGTCCTGTTTTTTGGAAAGTTTGTGTACTACACTGGAATATACTGTATTAAGATTGTGTGTGTATTAGGACAAATAAAAAACAAATTAAACAAATTAAAAACAAACAATAAACAGACAAATGAATACTCCTATAATATGTCTATTGTTTGTATCTGTAATCATATTTGTTAATCTGTTCAATCTAAATAATGTATTTGGTTACACACCTACTACATAATACATTCCCTTCCGAAAGTATTGGAACGGTAAAGCTAATTCTTTTGTTTTTGCTATACACTGAAGACATTTGGGATTGAGATCAAAAGATGAATATGAGACAATAGATCAGAATTTCAGCTTTCAATTCCTGATATTTACATCTAGATAGCACCTTTGGTGGCAGACCACCCAATTTTTCAAGATCTATCGTCTCATATTCATCTTTTGATCTCAAACCCAAATGTTTATCCAAGTTCTCTCTATTCCTATGTCTCCATCTCTCTTTATCTCTTTCTTTGGCTGCATCTCTCACCACTGTCTGGAAGCAGGAGTGGAGCTGGGTGAGGAAGGGTGGCTTGTCCCTCAGTGCCAGCACCCTCTTCTCAACCATAGTGCACTCCACATCATCGTCCTGGATCACAACGTCCTTCTTCAGGATCTTGATTGCATACAGCTCCTCTGTGGACTTCATCTCCGCCAGCATTACCTGCATGGAGAGCACAGACTCCATCAGACTGTTAAGAAAAGATAACAGGTTTAGAAATAGAGAGCTGACCAAGGGACCCGCATTTTTATTACCTGTAATCATAAGGATTATATAAAATCCTGAAAATAATCTCTATATTGTACTGTTCTAACATCACTATACCTACTTAAAACTTTCCTTTTTCAGTCAGTTAACATACTGTACACATAAAACAGGAGCTGTACAGGTACATTGAACTGAATTAAAATTTTTATTTTATTTTATTTTATTTACCAGATTAGTTACTTCTTGCATGCTTGCTCTGCAAAAGTAATCTACTATATATTTAAAATATACACTTGGGAATAATTATTTTGTGGTGTAATTATCACTACTAGTGTAACAATATTAACAGAAAAAAAATACTTTTCCCATCATACCTATATACGTACAGTCACACCACTAAATGATACAATGCTAGCATAGTTAATATACACTAAAAACTAGAAGGGAATTTAGAATGATCTCATTTTTTTCTTTGCTAACCAACCCCATTTTTAAATAATTCATTCTTAGTTAAGGTGAGGTAGGGAAGTTGATTTCACCCCTCTATGCTAACGGATGCCAGGTTTCATTAGTTAATTCTTAGCTAAGATGACGTAGGGAAGTTAGCATAATCTTATCTGCTTACTCCTAACTGACCCCAGATTGCAAGTAAATCTACAACATTTACACCAATAAAGCTGACTGAGTGTTAAAATACAGGTTTGGGCATCATGGCTGACCTTGCCAAAGCTGCCCTTTCCTAGAAGTGCCAGGAAGTGGAAATCGTTAAGTCGAACCCTGTCCATGTTGCTGGAGGGAAAACTGAAGCGCCGGTGGTCTGACGGTGTGATCACTTTCTTGCCTGGGCCCAACTTTGCTTTCTAGAAAAAACAAGAGATTTTAATGAGCATACACCCAAACACACTCCACCCAATCATAGAATAGATCTTGGCTGGCAAAGACTAAACAAACAACAACAACTCTTAAATCCTCAGAGTAAAGCGGGTAGTAGAACCTCATATTTATTAATGTGGAACTGATAAGATGTGAAGCTAAATTGAGCACCTGCAACTCAAACAGCTGCTAGATTATTAATACAGCAGGTATCTAGTGTGTACTCTCTAGCTAGTGTGAACTATGTAGTTTCATTTCCTGTGTATAATTACTGTTTTTTCTTGCTACACTATTACACTAATTGCATTTTATGCAGTGGGTCTACGAGGCTCTTGCATTCTTGTATGTTACAATATAATCCTGCAGGTTCAATCCGCTGTATACAGGATTACAGGATAACAATAAAAACTTGCTTGGTTTTACAAAATAATGCAAAAAATGAAAAGTTTTTTCCAATCTTCTGTCAAAAACTGTCCAGTTCTTGTGAGCCTGTACCCACTCTAGCCTCAGATTTCTGTTCCTGGCAGATATGAGTGGAACCCGATGTGGTCTTCTGCTCTTGTAGCCCATCTGCCTCAAGGTCTGACATGATGTGCGTTCTGAGATGCTTTTCTGATCACCACGACTGTAAAGAGTGGTTGTTTGATTGTTTTATTTTACTGTAGCCTTCCTTTCAGCTTGAACCAGTCTGGCCATTCTACTCTGACCTCTCTCATCAGCAAGGAATCTCCACCCACAACTCAACTGCTGCTCACTGGATGTTTTTTCGTTTTTTTCACACCATTCGGTGTAAACTCTAGAGATGCTTGTGTGTGAAAATCCCAGGAGATCAGCAGTTTCTAAAATAGTCAGACAAGCTTGTCTGGCACCAACAACCATGCCACAGTTAACGTCACTGAGATCACATTTTTTTCCATTCTGATATTTGAATGTCTGTGTGAATATTAACTGAAGCTCTTGACCTGAATCTTCTTAATTTTATGAATTGTGCTACTGCCATGATTAGCTGATTTGGATAATTGGATTAGATAATTGCATGAATGAGCAGGTGTACAGGCCTATTAAAATGAGTACACATCTTGGCTCAAAGTCGATTAATAAATGATTAAATTTCCATAAAACATATGACAAGTCAATTGATAGTAAAATCGATTTTTAATCAATAGAGAGTTTTCAGAACATTAGCATTTAAGCATGCTGCAAAGTACACATGCAGTATTGCTTTGATTTAGATTAATTCAGTGTGTAATTACACTTTGTTGTTCGTTGTTATAGCCAGTGACAGGCCATACAGCTGAGCAACATATCATTAATAAATAACATCACTTAAAAGTGGAACTTCAGAAAGGACATCTCTATTGTCAAATACAGATGCTGATCCCTCTGTCCTTACGTCTTATTGTTATAGTTCTTCCTGCATCCTCCTGAAGAAGGGATGGAAGAAAATAAGGAATTAAAAAATATTTTTCCTTTAGGCTGCTCCCGTTAGGGGTCGCCAAGGCAGATCATTGATCCATGTATTTGATTTGACACAGTTTTTATGGCAGATGCCCTTCCTGACACAACCCCCCCCAATTTTTATCCAGGCTTGGGATCAGCACTGGGAGTGCCCTGTCTCATGCAATGCCAGTGGCTGGGGTCGGTTCCCTGGCCAGGAATCAAACCCAGGCCATGGTGGTGAGAGTGCCAAAGCCTAACCACTAATCCTCCAGAGACCCTAAAATGAAATAAGGAATCACAATGAAGAAATGACAAGAACCCTTTAATACAGTTCATATGATATCATACAATTGGTGTTGTATCATATTGTGCGTTCAGCCAGAGCCGTGGATTTTTATCTCTTCCTCCTGACAGTGTTAATAAGAACCTTTCAGAGCCTCAAATTACACCCTCCATCTCCTAACACAAGATTACTCCCTTTCTTTCATTAATTTTCCCCTTCTCTCTTCTTCTTCCTGTTCGCAGCTTCACATGACATACCAAACAAAGGAGTGTGAAACTGGTGGAATGACACACACACTCTTTATGTTTCTCCATCTCTGCTTTCCAACATCTTTCTCTTTCTCTCATTTTATTTGGTTATTCCTATACAGTGTATCAGGGCTCATCAACTGGCAGGCTGTAGTCAGGATGTGGACCCAGCAAAGTATTTCAGTAGACCAAGCACTCATAAAATACTGTAGCAAAACTGATCAATAAATGAAAAAAAACAACCTGGGTGTACTTCATCGGCTCCAAGTTTTTATACATGAACCATTACGACTTCTGGAGCAGATCCTCTTGTGGCTTGTTTTCACAGACTTTCATCGGTTTTTATTTCATTTACAGAACCCTTTGTTCTGATTACTGAACTAACAGTATAATTAAATAAATTAAAATCAAGTTGATGACAAAAACAGAATGTGAAAGATGAATTGACAAAGAAGTGTTTATTCTCTGCTTTAAGTTTAAATCAGATGTTTTATCTGTTCAGAGTCTACTCACAATTGATAATATGTAGCGCCAGTGTAAAACTAAACCAAAACACTTCAAACCGTTTCATTTATAGCAATAAATTAATCGCTAATAGTTAAATATTAGAAGGTAACCATTCGGTCATGTTAGCTGCTTATCTGGACCTTTTCAAAGCAGGAATTTTATGTAACTGAGCCTGGAGAATAGATAAAGATAGATAAACTAAACAATAAGCTGCATCATCACACAGTCTTGCGCTGCCTTGAATCTAGTTAATATTATTGTAGAAAGTCATTGCTAGTGACAGTGGTGAGCCATTAAAAAGATATTAGCCAACAGAATATGTGTGCTATTCTAATGTTGTCTCAGTGGCTGAGGGACTGTGTGAATGTCCATAATGCACTCCGAGCTTCTAGCAGTACCAAGTCGGTTCAAATGAAACAAATGATTGTGTAAAGGGATAAAATGCAAGATTTAATCTTTTACAGTATATGTAAAACATAGCTTGAGGTCATAATGTCCTTAATGGCTGTATAAAGTTGCAATTGCAGTATTGGTGTGCACTGTCTCAGATAACATGTTCCCCTAGAACCGTATTATGAAATATGCATACTACTCATACTAATCCCCACCCAAAAGGAAAAGTAATATGCAGTATGTGAACAATATATTTCCAGTATGCCAAACTACTCAAGTTAGATTTTCAAGTATGCAGCCAGAACTATCTTCAAAATAATAAATATGAATGCATTTGTCTTTTCAATTCAAATAAAGAGTACATCACTGTAAAAAAAAATGCTGTAAATTTTACAGTAATTTACTGGCAACCTAAGTTGCCAGTAAAATTTACAGTAAACAACTGTAAAATATATTTACAGTGAAGTACTGTAATATCTTACATAGTATAAAGTAACAGGATGCAACAGAGCTGAAGGGTCTTGCTCTAGGACCCAACCATGGCAGTGTTGTAGTGCTGGGATTTGAACACATGACCTTCTGAGCTGTAATTCAGATCCTCTACACCTTTGAGGCACCACAACAAGCTCTACTAGCACACACTGATTCAGCCACTTCTACACTTGAATCAATGCAAGCTAGTTGAGCTTATTGTGGTGGCTCAGTGGTTAAGGCTTTGACTTACAGTTCAGAAGGTCATGTGTTCAATTCCCAGCAGCACTCAGTTCTATCCTGTATTATGTGTTTATTTTATTACAGTACATTACTGTCAATATGTTTTATGGTTGTTTACAGTAAATTTTAAAGTACTTAAGTAAAATATAGATATTTATTTTAAAAATATAGATATTGATAGATTTTTTTGTAAATAATTTTTTACAGTGTTTCAATACCTTAAGTGTTTTTTTAAAGGCTTTAATTATTAACAGATTCTAGCAGGTTAGTACTTTATACAGAACAGGAAATTAGCTATTAATTATAATTATGCAATTATTGTATTGATGTAGCTAAAGCTTGAAGCTGAAGGGCTTTGTGGCTGCCTTAATGTATCATTTTTGGCTTTAACCACTGACAGGTAACACAAAATGCCACTAGGTTGCCAGTAGGTGTGAATGTGTGTGCCATGCAGTGGAGTGGTGTTCCATCCAGGGAGTATTCCCACCATACCCAGTGTTCCTGGGATAAACTCCAGATCCACTGTGACCAGGGAAAATCAGTCACTGAAGCAGTCTAATGTAATTCTGTGAGTGAACTGTATCCACAAGTAAATCTGTGATGGACATTAGTCACATGACTACATCAGATAAAAATATATGATGTATATCAGATACAAGGAATAGTAGCATACAGTATACAAGTCTCTTGAAGAAGGCTTCACACCACTTGCTCTTTAAAAGACTCAAACAAAAAACTTGTCCTGCCCTCTAGTGTTATTCTCATGTAAGTGCACTTTCCAGAAGCATGCATACGGAATTAGATGCAGTGGCCAGTATTGATGCAGTTGTTGTGGATTCATTACAGAAAGGATCTTCTTTTTTATTATAGGACTTTGGGTGGGATAAAGGGCAGGAATATTGTAGTGCATCATTACTTGTGCATGCACATGGAGGCATGCTTCATCTGAGTGCAGTGAGTAATTTCTATAGAAAGCATGCTGCAGACCACTTACGCACATGGTATATTATACAGTAATATACCTTCCCTTTAGCATCTGTGGGCTGCCTCTTTACTAACAATTGCAATTGTGTGTGTGTGTGGGCATATGTGTAATAAAAGACAGTGCCAGAAAAACAGAATGTCTGTGTGTGCAAGTTCATTTGAGTGTGTTTGTGCATGCATAGCAACCCTGTAAAAATCAATGATTGCATCATTGTTAGTAAATCTGATTTCTCTGTAGCGGCCACAGCCACAAACAAAAAAATCAGAGAGGAAAAAAAGAGGGTGAGTTTGCAGGGGTGAGGGAGCAAGCAGAGAACAGAAAGAGCTACCTTTAGGAAGTGGATATTTAGCTGACAGGCCTACAAGAGAGGAGAAAAACTGCAATGTTAGTCTATACCGTACAACTCTGTTAACTAGGACCTAGCAGGGAGTGTAAAGAACAAGTAGGCATACAGATAGAGACAAACAGAAGCCAGAAGACTGACTATGAAAAAAAAGGATTACATAATATCATACCTTACTGAATACACTTTACAGTTCTCAAGACTGTGGGAAAACGTGCTGGACACAAGTGCTATGCCTATTATGGCTTATGCAGGAATAGTTATCAAAGTTGGAAAGGCAAAACTGTCATAGTCAGAAACTATAGATCTATCATCAGCTACAGCTACATAAACTACATAAACATAAACTACAACCTGTGGCAGTGGCCATGCAGTGATTATGGTTCTGTTCTCATGACCAGATGGCTGGGAGTTTAAATCACAGATTTGTGACTGTTGGACTCTTGACCAAGACTCTTAACTTTCTGCTCTTAGGGTGATTTTTGGTGGCTGGCCCCTGATTCCTTCCAAGTTGGGAGCTTAAAACTGACATAAAATGACAGGAGGCAAACCTAAGGTCTGCAGGCCAAATACAGCCTGCTGCCTCATTTCCTGCACAACCTGCACAAACTTTATTGTTTTGAAAAGTATATTGAAACTGACCATAGTACACAACTACCCAACTTGGTCTCACTGGAAGTGTATAACCTAAGGTATCCATCGAAACAACATCACACACATTCTGTCCGTGTGTGATGTATTAAGCTTAAGTATTATAAAGGAAACTAACATCCCAAATGTACACTGATGAAACAGGAGGGATGGGGACAGTCACTGTTGTGCAAGCTGTATTTACAATGTTCATTTCAAAATGTGACAAAAGACTGTAAAAATGTGACTTATTAAACTGTATATTATGTTTATTCTAATTACGCAGTAGTATAATTGAACTAAATGAATATTTAACACTTTCCTCTACAGCTACAGGCAGCACAATCCTGACATTATATTTTCTGATATAAAAATTCAGTGTATAGAACCTCAAAATGTTTCAATGTGTCTTTACGGACTTACACAGAGACAAAAAAAAAAAAAACACAACAGGACACATGGGCTTGCCTATGCACGTCTCACAGAGCTCTTGCGGATTAAAACACTGGGTATAATAGATGTGTATTTGCAGCATGTCGCTGAACCCTTCAGAAACACGTCCAGTGTTATTTGGTCTCTTATATAATGATTGAAATGCATCACCCAGTGTAGTGACCTATAATTTTTTTTTTTAAATAAGTTGATGAATAGTAATGGAGGACTGAGGACATGCAGCCTATGTTCTTAATAAAGATAAGCCCATGTGATTTCTTCTTTAGCAGTAATTAGTAATTAGTAAGTGCTTTCTGGCTAGATGATAGCCATGTGGTTGTCAAAATCCTGAACATACACATTTGCACTCTGAGCACCCAGCTTAAACAGAAATAAAGTCAAACATATTAAAAAGTAAGAATAATCAAGAAACGAGCAGTGTTGGTTTACTTCTTTTGGTTGCATTGCATTTCAACCTCATCTCTAGTCCTAAAGTTGTTGATTTTTGTGGATTTTCTAATAATATGGCATTGTGGTATTAAAATACAGGTTCCTGGTTACACATGAACTTAAAATTACAGCTTATATATTTTTTTTCAATTGTTTTGTAGCTACATGACTGATTATGCTTCCCGCCTTCTGCTCCCAAGCATTATCGAACAATAAACCAATGTCTCAGGTCTACAAGTGCAATAATACACACGCACACACCACACTGCATATTTGCACTAATCTGTAAACACCTCTCATATGTTTACACAAATCTTATACTGTTACACTTATGTTTATTATTCATATATTCTGATATACATTCATAGAGTATACAACAACACTATGTATACTGTATTCTGCACTGTTGTTCTTGTTTAATTTGCTCCAGTGTACACTACAATATTTTGCACTAACCATTGTATATATTACCTTTTGGAATACCTCTCTTCTTGTCTATTTTATTTTTGATTTGTATTTGTCTATTATGCCAAAACCTTGTGAGCTGCTAAACAGTTTTTCGCTGTTCAAAACATTGACAATAAAAATCTATTCTATTCTATTCTATTCTATGCTACCTGATATTATGCATTTAACTTGACCAGTTTATACTGTCAGTATATGAAAATACATAATAGTATCATTATACTATAGTATCCACTATACTATATTATACTATAATATACTACACTATAGTATCCACTATACTATACTATACTATAATATACTATACTGTAGTATCCACTATAGTACAAATGTTATATCTAAAGATATACGACTATAAGTAATGGGATATTACTTATATATTATTCCCTGGGATATTATTCCCAGGCTCTGAGATAAATATTTATGCCCTTTAATAGAGCAATGAGGCATTGGATATACGCATTTTATTGCATAGATCCTCTTTCAGGACATTTCCTCTTTCAGAACTCGTATTTCAGTCGAACACAGCAGAACACCTTGAAAGCTGCCAGACCTCCAGGCACTGAGGTATTTTTTCAGCTGGAAGATACAGCAAACCAATCCAATTCACACATCCTGTCAGAGATCTTATGCTGGTGACAGATGTATGATAAATGCTCTGCAGTTGATGACATTCCAGAAAAAAATTAGGCTTGGCTTCATCAGAACAGCTTCATGTCAGCTCTGTCAACAATAAGTTGCTAACACATCCTTTGCCAGGTCTTGTTTCCATGGTAATGCGAGTGTATTCAGTGATGTGCTGGCACCTCAGGGACGTCAATGCCACATTCGACATGGAAAGAGAGTATTAACACAGAAAAAAGCATCTGCAGTAGTGCAGATATTACAATTTCCTCTGAGATGTTTTTGGACAGGATAAAAGCACCTTGTCTTACACTGGTATAACCAAGAACAGAAAAAGAATTGACAATCAATTATAGTCTAATAGTTTTAAGGGTGAATTAGAGTACATGGATCCTTTCAGAAACAAGGCATTTTACACAAACCTTGATAGTGTTACACTATTAATAGCAATTAATTTGGCCTGCTTTGTCCAACACCTTATGTTTTGTGCATTTTCAACATCTGCCGCATAATATACGTTGTCTCTGTCTTAAGTCAAATGGAACAAAATGATTGAGCTACAGATATTTTTCCTAGAACGCTGGAGGATGACTTTGAGAGATTGTTTATTGACGAGTGCTCTCAGATTCCTCTCCAATATCATCAAGCATTATAGGGGAATTAACTCAGTGCTCTTATGTTGGCTAAGGGATTTTGTAGAAAGTACCAAGTGTGCCAATAATCCTGGAGCTGACTGTAGTTAGTATTTTTTATGTCATCTCTATTAACAGCACAGATGCAGTGTACAGCATATAATGTTAACTCTGAGCTTAATGAGGGACAATCCGGAATGTTAACTTAAATAATTAACTCATATTTACTGCCTCACTTCATACATCTTTCACTGGTTAACACTGCTTATCATAACTGTGTTCTTCTTTTTCAGTAATATTTCAGAAATCTTTAAAACAAAGAAAGTAAATGTTCAATATCTGGAATAT